AAAAAAAAATACACAAAAAATTCTCATTTTTAATATGGGGCAAAAGTTTTTTAAAAAGTCTATCAAAAGTTGTGGAAATCCTTTTTTTTTGTTCGAAATTTACTACACTGATATAGGGTGGCAGTGTCACCAAACCAGATTTCATCCGGATCTGATCCAGATTCCAGATCTGACAGTCATTTAAAATTAACATTGAAAACCCCATTTAACACGTATTTTCTGCCATAATTTGGCCAATAATGAAGACAGAACCCTGTAATGTTCCAGTAAGATGCACAGTATGACTGCCTATCATACCCTAAAAGATGATCCAGGTCCAATCCAGATCAAGGATTTTATGTTGTTCTGGATCGCTCTCTGAATGCTCTTGTTCTTAAAAGTTTTAAAAACATCCATCCAGTGGTATGCGGTTTACACCTGCAACCATATATTTGTTCATCAAATAACAATGCACAGTGTGTACAGTGTGGACATAATTACAGTATCTACTAGTACTGCAGCTATTCACCTAATTGAATCTCATGTGTTTGTCTGTGCTGCTACAGAGCCCTCTGACCCCGTCCAGAGAGCAGCTGGAGGATGGCTCACTGTTTGGAGAAGCAGCAGACTCAGAGGGAGGAGTTCAGGCTCTCTTGGCTGAGATCAGTGAGGAGGACGTGGAGGTGCTTCACCACAGAGAGGAGGCTCTGCTGCAGATTGAAGTAGGAACACTGACACATACCAAATAACCCAGTAGTGAAATTTTTCAAAATGTTTGCAAATGTATTAAAAATTGAGGTATGCAAAGCTTGTAGATAAGAAGAAGACTTGAAGCAGTAACAGCTGTCAGAGGGGTATTAATTAAGGGTCTAAATACTTTTTGTAAGTGAGAAATTTCAGGTTTTGATTTTATTAACTTTGCAAATGTTTTTAAAACACTTTTTTTCCACTTTGCTATTATAGATTACTGAGTGTAGATTGATGAGCAGAACTGGCAATTTATCTATTTGAAGCAAAGTTTACAACACATTAAAGTGTTTAAAAAGTCAAGGGTTCTGAAGACTCTGAAGCTACTGCATGTCCTTCCTCATTAACTAGTTTCAACAGGACAAGCATGATGTCATGATTTCATTCTCTCCAGCTTTCTGGTAACAC